AACCACTCTGCCTCTCTCCCTCCCTCCGTGTCTTCCCCGTCCCTGCAGGATTGCTGTGGAAACTGCAGCGACAGTGAGGAAGAGCTCCCCACCCGCCTCTAGCCCCGAGCCTGAGGCCCCCACCGGCAGCTGGCGGTAGCAGCTTCTCCAAGCGCTGTTCACAGTTTTGCACAGTGGTCTTCCCCATTGTCCACTCAAGTCGTGGCCGGGGGAACACAGATGGAACTGTCCCCAGTGTCATCCGCCCGTCAGCCCCTGGCCTGGCTGAGGGTGGCGAGGCCTGAGCTGTCCCTGGGACAAAGGTGCATCCCTCCGGCTCTTCTCCATGGAGCTCGGGGCTTTCTGTATGTATGTATTTGTACGAATGTATATAGCGACCCGAGCGTTCTCAATTCCCACCGCAGACCTGGCGCCCCCGCCTTGGCTCCTGGGGACAGCCAGCCCTGGCTGGGAGAGTGGGAGCTGGCAGAGGAGCCACTGCCAAACTCAAGGCTCCTCCGGCCCAGTTTGGACGGCTGAGGGTGGTCACAGCCCTGAGCCCTCAGCATTGTGCTGGGCCGCGCCCCTGCGCCTCCCCAGCCTCTGAGTAAGACTCATGCCTGCCCCTGCTGCCCTGGGCCCAGGCTGCTACCCTGTGGGGCCCAAAGCTGTCCCTTCTCAGTGCTTGTAAGTGCTGGATCTGGGGCCTCTGTATCCCCTAGGCCTGTGCCAAAGTGGCCAGAGATTGGGCTGGCTGTGAGACCCATCAGTCCACTGCCCCAGCCGGCCCAGATAGGTCTGCCTCTGCCTTCCAGCTCCCAGGGCCTGGTCCCTGATGCCGGGCCCTGTCCTGAAGACACCTCTTTCAGAAATGCCCGAGCCGAGCCCCTAGGAGGGGGTGGGGCATCCCTGGACAACCCTCAAACATTCCGGACTCCCCTCATAACAATAGACATATGTGCCCAGCAATAATCTGCCCCTTCCTGTGTGCGCCTGTGGGGTGTGTGTGTGTGTGTGTGTGTGTGTGTGTGTACCTGTGTGGGTGAAGGGGATAGGGTGAGGCTGCGCCTGTGCCCCAGGCCCCAACCCTGGCCCTTCCCAGACTGTGATGGCCATCCCGGTCCCAGTGTTAGGGTAGCATGGGATTATAGGGCCCTGTGTTTTCCATATTTAAAGCCAATTTTTATTACTCATTTTCTCCAGTGTAAGCTGCCACGTGTCTCTGTGTGAATACAGTCCGAGCACAAACCAGGCCAGCCGCCCCTGCCTGCCTCTTTCTTGCTTCCAGTGCTCCAGGGGTCTTCCTGCTCCCCTGGCCCAGTTGGAAGCGGGCCTGGAGGGAGGAAGGGTGTGCCCTTCCGAGGCCCAGGAGCCCCCAGGTCTGACTTTGAGGTAGCCTCTCCAGGCAGCCAGGCTTTGGTAGCCTTTGGGCTCACCCAGTGGGTTTCCCGACTTCCTAAATGGGATGGGGCGTAAGGAAAGAAGCCTTGGGTGCCCCCTGGGGTGTGGGTCTGTTTCTGAGTGTGCTGGTAAGGTGGGCCCTGCTGGTGTCCTGCTCTCCAAGGCTGAGGTGGCCTGGCTGCCTAAATGTGGACTTAGAGCAGCTCGGGAGCAGGGTGGAGCTGTGTAAGGAACACCTGCGCCAGGCCTGCCTCACCTGGATGCCAGCCATGAACAGGCCTTGGGCTGGTGCATGTGCATCTTTCCCACCCCTCTGTTTTGCCTTTGACCGTGGGTGATGCTGGCAGGTAGGGTGTGGCTGGTAGGGAAGGTTCTCTGAAGACAGTGGTTGAGCTGGCCTCGAAGTGGACATTCACCTGGGAGGAAGGGGGCCTGGGAGGCAGTTCAGCGGAGCCTCCTGCATGGGCGCTGGGGCTGAAAGCTTGTTGCCCACAAGTCTGTCCAGATCTTGCAACCCCATCACTGCTTTATAGAGTCCCAGTGTCCCCAGCCCCCTAAGAATGCCCCATAACCCCCATGAGTTTGTTCCTTGCCCCTGGACTGGGCACCCAGTGCTGCAGGAGCCACATGAGCTTTGGAGCTGACAGCTCCAGGTTCAAGCCCCAGCCTGACCACTTTTCAATTTGGCTCTGCACAGGCCCTTCCCATGTATGAAAAGATAGGCGTGAGACCCATTGCCTTGCCCAGCAGCTGTGAGAGCCCACCGAAGCAGCCAGTCAGCCCCTTGAGCTCCCAAGCCACCACAGGACTCACCTGCTGGGGAGATTGTGGTGCTGAGTGACAGACCAACTGGCTGGCTTAAGCACAGCCAGAAGGTGCCAAGCAGCAGTCTGGCAGAAGGGGCTTTTATGTGACCCCGTTCAGGACATGGGGAGTGCCCGCTGCTTCCCATCAACCTAAGGGAAATAAGGGGAGGAGGGATTTGCTCAAGGTCTTCCCACTAACAAGTTAAGTGGCCATTGCAGAGTGGGGAGGAAGCCAGGTAAAGATGGAAAAGCTGGATTCTACCCATGTGACATGAGAATGGAGCCTGGGTGGGTTTGCCCATCTGCCCCAGGCTGTTTTGAGGTGGGAGTGGGGGATTTTTAGGTAGGTGTTAGCATGCCGACCAGAGCCCAGCCCTGGGCAGGTATGCAAGAGTGAGTAGGTGCCAGGTGGGTGTGCAGGACCCTAAGGCACTCTGTCTACACCTGGATCCGGTTGCCCTGGCCACGCTCCCCCTTGGGCTCGGGAGGCATCCAGGGAACTTCCAGGCTAGGGTTAAACTCACCTTAAAGCTCTTACCACAGTGGGTCCTTGGCAGAGGGAACTCCCAGAATTCATTTCCCAAGAAGCTTCCCTGAGCTTTCCTCCATGCCCAGCTCTGTGGTGGGAGCTGGGACCCAGATGGAGACGAGGCTCCTGGCAGCTTGGAACTCAGTCTGGTAGGGAGGCAGACGTGGGAACAGCGAGACCCAGTGTGATCAGCACTGTGGAAGAGGAGTCTAGAGCTGATAGGGTTGGGGGTGGGGCAGCACTGAACAGGAGGCCCCTTGACCGTGAAGGTATCTGTTGGTGCCCTCCAGGACACAGGGACTGTTGCACCCAGGTAGAGCCAAATGGATGGTCTAGGGCTTTAGTGGTTTAGGATGGCTGAGGATGGGAGGCCAGGGGTAGAGGCAAGGAGTGACTGGAGCTGAGGTTGGAGCTGAGGTCAGCGAGACACAGCCAGCTTTGAAAATTGGGTTAAGGATGATGGAATTAAGGCCCACATGGGGCCTCATCTGGAAGGTAGGGGATTCCCTGAAGGGTTTTGACTGGTTGTGTTGGGGGTGTTTGCTCCAGCATCTACAAAAGCACCCCTGGTCTCTGTCCATGTGGTTTAGATGGGGCTTGCACCCCTGCATATGCATACTCCACACACACACCTAGAGTGAGAGAGCCAGGTGGCAGAACTGTCCTCCCGCTAACTTAGAAGGTGTTCGGAAGATACGGAGGAACTCCGGGGTCTTAGTTGTGGACCCCATTCTCATCAGGGCACACCCACCAGAAGCAAGATGCTAGAGCCATTTGGTTTTGCATCTTTGAGCTCAGTTGCAAACCCAAGGAGTCTGAGTGGCCAGGCTGGATACTTGGCCACTGTGCACTGAGGGAGCAGTGCACTTGGGGTCACAGGCTCACAAGGATGGCACCCACGGGGCAATGATTCCCCTGATGAAATCAGGGTGTCCGTATACAAAGAAAAGGGAATGGATACTGGGAGAGCATTCCTTTTGGCCATAAGGAATACATATCCTCTCCTTTAACTCATAGGCACTTAGATTGGTTCACCAATAGAGACTCAGCTTGAGTCCAAAAACAATCATTTGTGGAGTTGTTTGCTTGTTTTTTTGCTCAAATGATGGGGAAGCAATTGGGGTTCTCTTTCCCCCAGGGACAGATGGCAGGATATGAGCCTAGGGCTATGGGAGTTCTCCTCGCACCTCTTGGGGTGAGTTTGCCTGAGACTGATGCAAACATAGAAGCAGGTATGTACCTGATGCCACTGTGGGAACACCTGGAAGCAACTGTGACCAAAGCTAGAATCTCTACCCTGGGATTTACCTGCCAGTTACATGAGCTAGTCCCCTTTGAGCTCAAACCTTTTCCTTTTCTTTCTTTCTTTTCTTGGAGACAGGGTCTCACTCCATTCCTTAGGCTAGAATGCAGTGGTATGATCTTGGCTCACTGCATCCTCTGCCTCCCGGGTTCAAGCAGTTCTCCACAGGCATGTGCCACCATGCCTGGTTTTTTGTTTTTGTTTTTTTTTGGTAGATGTGGCGTACAGCTCAAAACTATTTGAGGATTCTGTCACTTGCAACCCCAAATGTCCCAGCTGATGTGGTGGTGGAGGGTGTTTTTGGAAAATGCCTTAAGTGCAATAGAGAAGTTGGACGAAAAACAGCCTAGTTAAAAGGCCGATGGACAGCCAGGTTCCGAATGGCCTCTGCGAGCTTGGACCTCGGGGTAGACAGTGGGACCCTCTCTAGGGGTCATCGGTTCCCTAGGGGGAGGCATGTCCACAAAGGCCAGGGCTGTGGATTCGGCACTAGGTCCTCCTTCCCGTGCTGCTTGCTAGTACGCCTGCTGGGCACCTAGTGGAAGGGGTCGTGAGTTGAGAGGGAGCCACACTGGGGTGCCTGCCTGCTCTGGGGCCCTGCCCACTGCGTGTACGCAGCGCCTGTCAGGATGTGTCGGGGGCCCGGACGTGTGTGTGCTCTCCAAGCTGAGCTGTGTGCGCGTCGGGGTTCTCGACCTCAGCCGCCTGGCTGGGCATCCAGCGTGCATAACCGGTGTGGCCAGGGCTCCAGCCCGGCGTGTGCACCGAGTCTGCCGGCGCGTGCCTCCCCTGTGAGGGTGCCCTGGCGGGTGTGAGCCGGGCGGGCTGGAGAGAGTCGGGTCTCGGCGCCGCAGGTGGGTGTCAGTCCTCCCCCTCCTTCCCTCCGGGGGCAGCCTCCTCGCGGCGTGTGGCGGGGGATGGGGGGCCCTCTGCCGGCCACCGCGCGCGCGCACGCCGGGCTCAGCACCCGCCGTGTACGCGCCCGTGCGCGCGCCCCGTACCTCCAGCCCAGCGCTCGGAGCCGCTTTCGCTGCCACTGTCTGCTCCCCCGGGCCGCCGCCGCCGCCGCCGCCGCCGCCGCCTCCTCCCCGCGCAGGCCCGGGGCTCTGTCCGCTGGGCCCGCGCCACTCGCCCCGAGCCAGGAGAACGAGCTCGAGGAGGATGCCTGGGCCCGTGAGTACCGCGGCGGCTGCGGGCCGGGCGGGCACTGAGCGCGGGCGGAAGATGGTCCCAGGACTGAGCCCTTCCCCGCGGGCAGCTATGTGCCCTGGCCCCGGGTCGCCGCCCCGGACCCCCGCCTGGGCCACGGGCAGCCCCTCCCCCAGCCCACACCGGAGGGAGGGAGAGCGCCAGTGAGCGAGGGAGCCGGAGCGGGGCGCGAGCCGCCACCAGTTCGCTTGGAAACGGTTGCCACAGCAACGGGGTTGCGCTCCCCGGCAACACGACTGCGGGGCGGCGACGCCCCCTCCCCCTATCTCCCCCCTCCCCCCACGCGAGTCCGCAGCTCGGGGGCGCAGGGGGAGAGGGGTGCGCGGCGGGGGTACGTCGCCCCTCTGGCCCGGCTGGGTGTGCCTGCCTCCACAGCCCGTCGAGGGTGGGGGTGGGGGCGAGCGGCCGTGGGCACGGGCTGGCTCCCACGTGGCTGCAGTCGTCGCAGCAGGGCTCCTGGGGTGGCTGCAAACGTGGGGGTGGCCCAGCCCCTGGGCTTGTCACGGGAGGAGGAGGCACTGGAGGCTGGAGCTGGGGTCTCTGACCATAGACCCCCGCACCCACCCAACCACCACCACCCAGGGCCTAATCGCTCCAGCCCTGGACATGGCCTGAGCCGAGTTGGGTTCCCCCAGGGGCGATGTTTCTTACCAGGGGAGAGGAGCGAAGCTTGCATCCCTCCTCCTCACAGCCAGGGCATGTGCCACACCGGGCAGGGGCCCGCGGTGAGTCTCTGCTCCTCGTTTCTAGCCACCATTCTCCAGGGAGGGGTGGAAGCAGAGTGGGCAGGAGCAGAGGAAAGGACATTGCTGACCCAGGGAAGCTGAAGCCCAGGCCAAATGGGAGCGACCCAGCCCATTGTCTGGATCACAAGTGCCCCTTTCTTGTCTGAACACAATGCCCCAACTGTACTGAGTGGCTTGCAGGTTGGCCGGCAGGGAGGCCCGGGCCACATGGAGGTGCCCGGTCCTCCAGGGGAGCTCCTCTGGGAGGAGAATGGCCTCTGACTCAGAGGAAATGACCTCTGGCTCCCCTCCCAACCTCCCCTCAGCGGGCATCATGCTGGAGAGAGAAATGGCCCTCCTGCCAGCTCTCCCAGGCCTGACTCAGCAGATGCCAGCCACGACCACGGGCTTCAGATCCAGCATCCCAGCGACCACAACCGCCCTTGGGTTTCCTTTCCCATCCGGGGAGGCACACTAGAGGTGACTGGCATCTGAGGCCTTGGCATAAGGTGCCCTTAGATGGGTGGTGCCCTGGAGGTCAGGCCTGAGTCTCCTGCAGGCAGGGGTGCCTGGGGAATTACTCACGGGTGCTTTTCACTCCCTTCCTGCTCTGTGAAACCTGTGTCGAGCACTCTGCCTCCATCATCTCCTAATTTTTTACAATTGCACAAGGTAAGTTTATTATCCCCATTTTAGAGATGAAGACTCTAAAGGGAGGCTCAGGGAGGTGAGCGACTTGCCCAAGGTCACACTACCGTAAGTGGCAGAGCTGAGTCTACAGTGCAGACTTCTCTGTGGGCAAAGCCCCTCGCTGCCTGCTATCTAACTTCTCTTGTGACCCAGGCAGAAAAGAACCATAGGGCCTTCTAGAAGAGCATTCTTAACCTTCCTTCACTTTCATTTAGTGAGGACATTCCCTGTCTTTCAGGTCTTGGTACATTTTTTCTGCTTCCAGCAAAATCAGCCAAATTCTTGCTCCCCCAGATGGATTATAGGACAGGGCTAGCTTTCTCTGTCCCTTCTTCACTTCCTCCCTCCTCCATTTTCTCCCTCTGGGTGAGACCAAGCAGCAAAGGGCTGCCTCAGTCGCCTGGGAATCCCCCAACCCGTGGTCCTCGGCTCAGGGGCTCCGTGGCCTGCTCAGCTTGCAGTCTTCACTGTGGGAGAGAAAATTTAGCGAAGATGGGCCCGTGCAGTGCTGCAGCCTGTGGGTGCTCTGTCTAGCTCCAGGCACTGGAAACCCAAATGCTTCCAGGATCGGGGGGCGGGGGGGGGGGGGCAATGGAATGAGTGAGGCGGGCCAGGGAGCCACTCAGCTCCAATCTTTGTCACTGTGTGAAATGTGGACTTGGTATGACCTGACTGTCCAATTTTCAAGATGAGCCAGAGATCCAGACCTTTATATACGAATCTCCTGGATTTTTTAAATGTTGGCAATTAATCAGAGTGTTTAAAAAAATTGACTGTGAAAATGGATTGTTTTAAAAACATGTCTGTGAACTGTGTCCAACCTAAGGGTCCTGTGTCTGAAACTTCAGGTCCGTGGAGGTAACGGCAGTTTTTGCTAGGCCGCCTCTAGGCTGTGTACAGTGCAGCACCGTGGGCTGCTTTCTGCATTTGAGCTTCTTGAGACTGCAGGGTGACCCCTCGTTAGAGGGAGTTCTGGTCTTCCCTTGGCACTCTTGTCCTACTGCTGAAGAAACTTCAGCTCAGATATGGGAGTAGCCAGAATGGGGTCACATGGCTCAGTGAGGGCAGAAGCCACATTGGAACTCAGGGCTATCCCCTGGCACTCTACTTGTTACCCAGGCTACCCCCCACCAGGGTATCACCGTCATACCCCTGTGGCCACCTTCCCTGGAGGGTCAGATCATTATTTCCATGCTAGCTGCAGGGATGGAGGCACAGAGAGCCACAGACTGAGGTTTCAGTAGAGGAACCTGGTCTCTGAAAACCCTGCCCTGAAGAGAGCCGGAGCTGAGCACAGTAACACTGGCCTGAGTAAGGGCTCTCCACCTCTAAGCCCACCGGGGCCCCAGTCTCTGTGCTTATCTGTAGTCTCCCAAGCCCTGGGTTCCTGGCTTGGTGAGAGGGTTAGGTCACCTACCTATAAGCAAGGGTACCACTCAGTACCCTGACCTAGACGGAGGGAGGTTCTGGCCCGTTCCAAGCCTGGCTGACTGTGGGAGCAGAGTCAAGTCGTGTCAAGTCCTCTGGCCTCAGTTCCTCTGTGTTAGCGTGGGAAGGGTGTAAAGATGTTACCAGTGGCTTCCTGAAATGCCCTTCCTGCCAGGACTCAGGGCTTTGTCATCACCTGGGCTTTATACCACCTGGCTATGGAGCCCTGAGCTGGACCCACTCCTTGTGCCTACATCCTTGTCTGTAGAGAGAACAGTAGCCACCTCCTGGGTGTTCGTGAGATAACTAGCATAGAGGCCAGTAGTGGGCCTGGCGTGTGCAAGGCACGAAGGACAGGCTATCGGATTGTCCAGTCCCCCAGCCCCCACCTCCTGCTCTGAGTTCCTGTCCCTTCCCTTCAAGAGCAGCAGCTCTAGCTTGAAGTCCAGGCGTGACCCAGAGCCCCTGCTGCCTGGGGTTTCCCATCCCCCTCCCCCTCCCCCAGAGCCCTGGTGTGTGCCTCCGTGCAGCCTTTTCCTTTGGTTCTCCACTTGCTTATAAACCACCCTGCCAGGCAAGGGCTGGGTGATGGCTTTTCTCTCTGTGACATTTTGGTGACTGGCTAACACTTCCTGGGGATGAATTAGATGCAGACCCGGCCCTTGAGATACTGCCAGTCCCACAGCTGAAAGACCGAACAGGTAACGAGCCCTCCAGTCTCTCCTTCTGTAGGTGGTTCTTGAGCTACTTACTGGGTGCCAACTGGTAAGACCAATGGTGCTGGACCTTGGCTGCCCCAGAACATCCTGGTATCACTGGGCTTCCCATCCCTGGGGGGTGAAGTGGCTCAGGTGAGCTGGACCTGAGAGGCCTTGCAGGAGCTCTTCTGGGTGACTAGTGGTTCTCAAAGGGTGCTCCCTGGCCCTGCAGTACCAGCATCTGCTGGGAATTTGCTAAAAATGCACACTCGGGCCCCATCCTAGACCTACGGAATCCAGCACTGGGAATGGAGCCCAGCACTGTTTTAACAGCCTCCACGTGGTTCTGATGCTTAAGTTTGAGAGGCCCGGATCTAAGCCACGTTAAATGATGGATTGGCTCCTGAGGCAGTGTGGTGCTGTGAAGAGTGACTAGGACGGGCAGGGGCACCACACAGTGGTAAGCATGATGATGGCAGCCAGGGAAAACAAGTGTTGGCCTGGCCAAGGCAGTGACAGGAGGACCAATGGAAGTGGACAGATGCTACCCTGCAGAGGTTGTGGTGGATGGAATGAATGGTGGGCTCTTTGCTGAGGTAAGGACCCAGTAGCAGATTGCTGGTGCTTTGGCGTGTAAGCCTGAAGTGTAGGGTTCTTTGTGCAGAGGGCAGTGTGGGAGGTGCCCACAGCAATGCAGCCAGCCCCTGGCTCTGTGTGCCCTTGGGTGTCATTTAATCTCCTTGAGCCAAGTGTTCTCATCTGCCAAATGACAAGAATGCTAGCCTGCTTTGAAGAGTAATTGTGGTGCCCAGCCCTCAGGCAGGGAGCACCCCCGGGGACACACACATCTCCGCAGCCTCAGCTCAGAAGCCACCATCGTGGATTAGCTGCATCTTCACCGATGAGGAAACTCAGGCAAGTTGGAGTTAGCAGACTCACCCAGGGTCTCGCTTGCATCCCCCTGCCATGCTCCCAGTGAGCGTGTGTCCCAAGAAAACCATGCAGAGTGATACGGTTCAAAAACACTACAGATAAATCAAGATGGAACCCTAAAAGATGTTCAAATAACCTTCAAGAAAGAAAAGAGAGCTGAGTGTGGTGGCTCACGCCTGTAATTCCAGCACTTTGGGAAGCTGAGGCGGGCGGATCACCAGAGGTCAGGAGTTTAAGACCAGCCTGGCCAATGTGGTGAAACCTCCATCTCTACTAAAAATACAAAAATTTGCCAGGCGTGATGGTGGGCACCTGTAATCCCACCTACTTGGGAGGCTGAGGCAGGAGAATTGCTTGAACCTGGGAGATGGAGGTTGTGGTGAGCTGAGATCTCGCATCATTGCACTCCAGCCTGGGCAACAGGAGTAAAACTCGGCCAAAAAAAAAAAAAAAAAAAAAAGTAAGAAAAGAGAAAAGAAAACAAACAGAATGTAAGTAACAAAATAGCAGACTTCGGTCCATCCACAGGGCCTGGCTCCTGGCACCTGAGCACGTTGGGTAGGAGGAGGCAGGTATTTGCTACCAGCAGTCTGGAGCCGTGTGGGCAGTGGAGGGAGTGGCTGGGAGCAACAGGCTGCAGACAGGCTCTGAGTCTGAAAGGCTCCCAGACAAGGGCAAGAGCTCACATAGTAAAGGAGCGGTAAGGGGGCATGGCTTTTTCCGGAGTCTTTGCAACGTCTGGCCTAGTCAGGTAGAGCATTTTGAAAGGTCTGAATGAACCTCCGATGTTTATGTATTGAGGACCTATGGTGGCTTAGATGAGAGTCTGCTGAGCACCTGGGAGAGAGGCGTCAGACAGGAATGCAGTCCTGTGGGCCTGGTGTGGCACTGCCGAGGGATAGTGTTCAGCATCAAACCCCCGTCGTGCCAGCTGGGCGCTGGAGCCACGTTAGGGCCAGGGAGCTAACTGTGTGACCTTAAGCAAGAACCTTCCTCTCTTTGGTCCAAAGTTGCCTGGTCTATAAAATGCAGCTATGATGGCACCCAGCAGATCCTGGGTGTGGCCTGCCCTGTCTGGCCTAATGCCCAACCAGCTGACCCTGTCTTTTGTCTCTCGCTAACGTGGAGCTGCCCTTCCATCTCCCCTTCATCCTGTAGCTCTTTCTCACCCTGCTATTCCACAGCATCGTGGGGCTGGTGATCAGGCATGCCAGGGCCATGGTGGGAAGGAACAAGAATGTACATTTTGTCTGTTAGCTGGCCAGTCTGCCCAGTGCCCCCGTGGCTGCCACTTCATCTGACTTATCACATAGGCAGTGTTTTCACAAAGTTTGGATTCAGGTTCAGGCTAAATCCTAGCTCCTCCCCTTCTGAGCTGTGTGACCTGGGGCAAGTCATTTCCCTCTCTGATCTTATCTCCCTGTTTATCAAATGGGCACAACCACCACATGGACAAGGTGGTGTTGATGAAAGGATTCTTTGTGGAAAGAGAAATATCCTTGACAGATATTTCTAATTCAGCTAACCCCCATCATCTCCAGCCCTAGAAGTACCTTTTCTGACCCAGAGTTTTTCCTGCCTGGCAGGCCAGGGGGACTTATGGTTAGTGCCACTTTCCTCAGAGCATTCCTGATGGCTCAGGAAAAGAATAACAGATTTAATTAACTCCCAGTGACTGGCAGCATCGTGTTTTTATCTGGGCTGCGTCACCATGGCAGCTTCATGGCAGGGTTGTCGAGGGGGCGGGCAGAGCTATGGTTCCTGCCATTGTCTGTTCTGGAACACAGGCCCAGGAGAAGGGGACTGGCATGGGCACCAAGTGGCACGTGGCTGAAGGCAGCCATGGAGTCAGACGGGTGCCATCTGGGGAGAAGTATGGGGTGGCCCATGGCCTGGCTTCCCCTCAGCTTGGGGCTCAGGCTCCCTGTGGTTCTCAAAGTAGAGTGTGTGCCTTGGGTGTGCTGAAGGTAGGAGGGTCCGTGGTGCTCCCGGAAGAGGCCCACAAAGTAGCCCAGGCCACAGCCTCCCCCGCACCCCACCCAGGCTAGGGTTTTGTGGCCAGGCCTGGGTTCAAATTATGGCTCCACCACCTGCCATCTACACAGCTAGTTGTTCCCCACTCCTCATCTGTAAAACAGGAATTCCAGTTACCCCAAAGGCTTTCGTTCAAACCCGTGTATAAGGCATTCAGGAAAGGCTCAGTTCTGTTCTGCGGGGGCGGTGAGCAGTCACCTGCTACCCTTCACTCTCAGAGTCAGGGCTCTCCCCTACCTATCTCTTAGGGTGCAAGGTTCCCCCTCTCACCCCCCCCCACCCCGCTGTGGAGAGGAGGAAGCAGAACTAGAGATGCCCATCTGGAGTAAGGGCAGGACCAGGTGGATATGAAAGACTAGCTTCCAACTCTCATCTGGTTTTCCTCCCCTCTGCTGAGAGGGAAAAGGAGACGGCAGCCTGGAGACAGAGGCAGAGCCAAGGGGGGTTGTGCACGGGTAGGAGGCGGGGAAGCGGAGTTGGAGTAGGCAGGGGCGCCCTGGAGGAAAGGAAAGACTGGCTCACGCCCGGCGCGCTAGGCGCAAAAGCAGGGCCGGTGGCACGACGTACGAGTCGGAGCCACCCGCTGCAGCTCTCCTACGGGAGCGGCGCAGATCCGGAGGACGCGGTGCAGGGCCGGTTCCGGGCTTTGGGCAGCCAGGGCCTGCCAGGCTTCTGCACAGAGCGCCGGGTGGCTGTCGGTCTGCAGGGCTCTAGGAGATGTGCCACCCTTTCCCCACAGCACAGCAACCGCACCGACACGCCTCTTCAGCGACCTGGTGCGCACAGGCTCCTGAAACACTTTGGCAGCTAGGGTACCTTCAGCGGGAGGCTGCGGATGGCGAATCTCTCGTGCGGGCTCAGAGTTGGAGTCTGGCCTTTGCGCGCCCCCTGCTGGCCCGCCTCGGCTCCCCTCGGCGCCCCGGCTCCGCGGCGGCGGCGGGGCTCAGATAGGGGAAACCCTACTGAGGAAACCTCGAGAGTGACGTCATCCTCATCGGTGACGTCACCAGGCCCCCGGGGAGCGCGGGGTTCCCACGGAGGAGGCTTTCCCCGGACTGCGCAGGGCGCGGGCGGGGGCCGGGAAGTCATCGGGGGCCGTGGCGCGCCTTCACTGCGCCCTGTGTCTGCCCTACAGGTCCCGCGCGGCCCCGGGTGAGGCACGCCCGCGCGCCCGCCGGCGCCATGGGAAGGAGCGGGCGCCGCTGTTGTCCCCCGCCGGCGCGCGCACGACTTGAGACCTGCCACGGGCAGCCCCCGGCCGCGGGTCCCCGAGTGACGCTGGCGGCACCTGAGAGTGTGGCGCGGGCCCGGGGCCACGCAGAGGAGCCCAGTGACCAGTGAAACGGCTGAGGACCCGCCGCCCGTGCCGCCGCCATGGTGATGTCCCAGGGCACCTACACGTTCCTCACGTGCTTCGCCGGCTTCTGGCTCATCTGGGGTCTCATCGTCCTGCTCTGCTGCTTCTGCAGCTTCCTGCGCCGCCGCCTCAAACGGCGCCAGGAGGAGCGACTGCGCGAGCAGAACCTGCGTGCCCTAGAGCTGGAGCCCCTCGAGCTCGAGGGCAGTCTGGCCGGGAGTCCCCCGGGCCTGGCGCCGCCGCCGCCACCACCGCACCGCGGCCGCCTGGAGGCGCCGGCGCACGCGCACTCGCATTCGCACGTGCACGTGCACCCGCTGCTGCACCACGGGCCCGCGCAGCCGCACGCACACCCGCACCCGCACCCGCACCCGCACCACCACGCGCTCCCGCATCCGCCGCCTCCACACCTGTCGGTGCCGCCGCGGCCCTGGAGCTACCCGCGCCAAGGTGAGTACCGACCTCCGCCAGGGGGCGATCCGGGCCGCCCGGGGTGGGCGGGGCGTCGGCGCGGGCGGGCTCGCTGCTTACCCGTGGGGCTTCCACCCACCGCCCCGGGAGAACACGGGCGGCGACGGTCTAGTGCTCAGGCTTGGGCTCGGGCTGGGGCGCGGGCGCGGGCGATCCCTGGCCAGAGCCTCTGCGAGAGGCTGGAAACCCGCGGCTTCACCCGCTCCGCCCGCCTCCCACTCCGCAGCGGAATCGGACATGTCCAAACCACCGTGCTACGAAGAAGCGGTGCTGATGGCCGAGCCGCCGCCGCCCTACAGCGAGGTGCTCACGGACACGCGCGGCCTCTACCGCAAGATCGTCACGCCCTTCCTGAGCCGCCGCGACAGCGCGGAGAAACAGGAGCAGCCGCCTCCCAGCTACAAGCCGCTCTTCCTGGACCGGGGCTACAACTCGGCGCTGCATCTGCCCAGCGCCCCTCGGCCCGCTCCGCCCTGCCCAGCCCTCTGCCTGCAGGCCGACCGCGGCCGCCGGGTCTTCCCCAGCTGGACCGACTCAGAGCTCAGCAGCCGCGAGCCTCTGGAGCACGGAGCTTGGCGCCTGCCGGTCTCCATCCCCTTGTTCGGGAGGACTACAGCCGTATAGAGGGGCGCCCGGCGCCCCGGGCCCCACCGGCGAACTCCTGGCCTGACTGCGGGGCTTTTTAAATGCTTCCCTGGACTGCGGGGAGGGGCGGGGGGAGGGAGGGATTTCTTATCCCGTTTGTTACATTTTGAGGATAATAAAGGTGTGTGATCTGGTTTGGTACAAGCGGAGGGTGCACCCGCTGCTTTCGCCCAGGGTTTTGGCGACAAGCCGGGGCCTTGGCGGGAAGAACTCTGAACGTGCGTTTCCGCCACAAGAGCGCCTAAGGATGCAGAGCTAAGTCTGAGATCAACCTTCCTCCGGCGGTTCTAGGTTCCAGGCGGCTTCCCCTGGAAGCCTCAGCCCCCCACCCAGTGTCTGACGGGCCTTGGAATTAGGGTGAGAGCGCCCCCTGGTAGCAGGGAGGTGCTGCGGCCTAGGAGGTGGGAGGAGTTGGGAGCCTGGGTTAGGGCAGGCGGCAGCCCGAAGGGATCTGGATTTCTTTATTAACAGACATGAGCACGACCCGTTACAGAAGTTTGTGCTTTCTCAAAAAAAGAAAAAAAAAAAAAAAAAAAAAAACGTTACTGAATGTGAAAAAGGAACCCAAGCAAAGAGGAAGGAGTTGGGGAGGGGCCACTCAATGAGCCCCTGGGCCCCATCCACAGCCCTGACCTGAGCCGCGCCTAGGGCCTCCAGCCTGGGACCTGCCCGGCAGGAGAGGGGGGTGGGTGGCCCAGGGGCCCCGGCTGGGCCTGCTACTTCCTTTGGGCCAGACAGGGAAGGGTCAAAAGAAGGGCGGGGAGGGGGTCCCAGGGAGCCAGAGCCCACGAGCCATTTATTGCCATGTTTTAAAATTCGTGCAAAATATCTGAAGCCCTGGACAGAGAATACAAAGTGATATTTTTCCAAGAAACATAAAACTAGGAAAAGAGGTGGAGAACATTTTCCCACCAGAGCTCCCCCCACGCCAGGCCCCAAGCAGGGTGAGGCCTCCACCCCGGCCAGCTGAGCAGGGAGGACTAACAGCTACAACCTGGACCAGGGAAGGAGGAGTGGAATTTGCAACAGCGTCTCAACTACCAACGGGAGGAAAACCAGTCAACTGTACAAGTCTCCTATCAACTTTAAAAAAAAGAGAAAAGCTGTAAAAGTCAGGCCCTGTGGGTAGGGAAGCGGCCAAGTCCCCAGCCAGGGCCGGAATCCGGAGTGGGTGCCAGGCGGAGCTGCTGCGAATGCAGGCACGGCGGGCCGTCTGGCCAGAGGCCGATGCAGGTGGGCGGCCTTGGCAAGGGCAGCCTAGGACTGGCGCCACTGCTAATCACCACCTTCGAAGCCCTCCTCCTCTTCTGGAACTGGGTCTGCATCCCAGCACGTAATGTCAATTTCTATGGCATTAGAAGGGAAGACGAGTTAGGCACCTAGCCGACCCATGCTTGTGTCCCCAGCCTCTATGGGTGGCGGGTAGTGGTGGGGTGGCTGCCCACATTCAAACCCAGCCTCCCCACCGAAATTCCTCCCCATCATCCACCCCAGTACTACCTGGAGGCTTGTTGTAGAACACAGGAGGCGGAGCCTTGGCACAGAGCTCTTCCGATTGGGCGAACTCCTCCTCCTGTGATTGACTGAAGTACCCCTCACTGGCCTGCAGGGGAAAGCATCAGGTCACTTGGCCCCACCCAGCAGGACTGGGGCTGACCTATCAGGCCTGAGCCTGTTTCCCCAGCAACCAATGATTCCATCAGTGGTTGCCGGGGAAACACGGATGCCTGCCTTGGGAACAAAAGCAGAGCTGGCCCAGGGACGGCGGGTGGGATGGGCTTCCCCTGCAATAATGTGGGTCACACAGAAAGGGGGTACTGGTGCAAGCCTGAGCAATCAGGACCAGTGCCCTGCTCAGCCTGGACGCCCTCTCATCCCTCCCACCAGGCAGCCCCTTGCTGCACCTGGGTCCCCTCCTTTTGGGTGGTCTCGCCATTGGTCAGCAGGTGGGGCTCTGGCTCCTGCTCTTGCTCTTGCTCCAGCTCCTCAAGGGCCGAGGGCAGAGTTGGGGCCTGGGGGACTGCCAGGGGCTCCCCTTCTACTTCCTCTGGGTCGCAGAAGGTGGCTGGCGGCTCAGGCAGCTCATCGAAGTTGAGAAGGGTGGCACAGCTTTCGCCTGCTGGCAGCACTGGCTCCGGAGCCACCTCGTCCAGCAGGGGCACCTCTGCCAGGGTGACCTCAGTACCTGAGGGTGGTGTGGGGGCCCTGGGCTCACCCTGCAGTGAGGAGCCCCCTTCCCCATTGCCAGGCCATAGGTCAATGAGGCTGGTGGTGGCAAGGGGTACGTTGTTGGCAACAGTGGCGTCAGCAGTGGCAGTGGCGGTATCAATGGTGTCAGCTGCATCATGGGCCTCAGTGGCGTCGGCTGTGGCAGGCTCCACAGGGGCAGCCAGGACAGCCTGCTCTGCAGACTCCATGAACATCAAGTCCTCGGCAGGGCTGCCTGGCCCCCGGGGAGGTGCCTGTGCCTGGGGGGGCTCCTCCATGGAGCCGGCCCAGGCCTGAGGGTCTGCTGCTCTGGTCTCCTCACTGTCCAGGCTGGGGCTGGGCTCCTGGGTCTCTGTCACAGCACAGGCAGAGAAGATATGCAATTGGCTCCCTTGGGGAAGATGGAGACCCTGCCCCATGGACAGTGGTGGTGGTTGTCCAACAATGTGAGGAATGAGGGAGCCAGGGACTTCCATGCAGGTGTCCCACTGCCCCCTTACCCAGTGACCCCAGTGACTTTAAGCCCCTTGGCAGCTCCGGGAGGAAGGCCTGATTCCCACTTGAGAAGTCGGGTGCTGAGCTTTAGAGAGGGCAGGTCTGACTGCACACCAGGGCTCCTCCCTGCACAGCCGCCTCCAGGGCAGTGCAGTCTTAGTGATGGGTGGCCCAGATCCCGGGAGAACGGTTACCATGGCAACCTGGGGCTCTCAGCCAGGGAATGATGATGGGAGCCCTGGTGCAGGTAGGGTCCCTCTCTCACCTTGGGCTGGTGCGGGTGGTGGTGGCAGTGGTGGAGGCTGTGAGGATGTGACCTCATCCAGGGCCCTCTCAATCTGCTCAGCAACAGGGGTGGAGGCGGTGCTGGAGTCAGATGGGCTCCGCGTGGGGATGGGAGTGGGTGCCATCCTCCGGTGGCTGTCCAGGTGGCTGCCTGTGGAACAAACCCCAGGTGGGTCAGTGATGGCAGGGGAGCCGGGTGGGACAGGACTGTCCACCTTGGGGCCTGGCCAGCACCTCCTCTCTGGAGTCTGGGTGGAGGCTGGGCGCTCCCCAGCCCCCCAGGGGCCAGACTACAGCTCCAGACCCTGTAAACTAGGCCCCTGGGGGCCAGTGCCCCACAGGGCCAGGGGCAAGAGGCAGGCAGTGCCTGCCCTGGGGACAAACACCAGAGATCAGCGGTCAGGCTGGGGGAGTGAGGGTGGGGGGCTGCTGGGAAGCGGGGCCCTCCTTACCACCCCCGCCGAGGCCTGGGGCTGCTACCTACATGGGAGGGAGGAAGAGAGGTTTGGGGTGCGGTGACAGGTGATATAGGGAAAGGGAGTCCGTGGAGGGGAGGAGGAGGAAGAGGAGGAGGAGGAAGGCCCACTGTCCGATGCCTTTATGAAAGGGCAGTACGGACGACCTGCCGAGAGAGACAGACAGAGAAAGAGACAGAGGACAAGAGAGGGTCAGTCTCCCCCACCCCTGCCAAGGCCTCTCCCGCCCCCAGGGCTGGCCCTGGATGTCCAAGCTGCCTTCAGCCAGGGCGCACTCAGCCAAGCCAGCCGCAGCCTCACACCAGCCCCAGACACACAGCCAGCCTGAGAGCAGCACAGCAGACATGGCCTGCATCGGGACCCCAGCATGGGGCAAGCACACTCAGGCCAGCAGACAGGGTGGGGAAGAGCTTCAGGGAAGGCACAAGCAGCACAGTGATAAGCAGAACAGGGACACCTGAGCGCAAGCTCCAGGAGGCTCACTCAGGGTCCGGGCAAGAGCCCAGCCCGCATGCACCCCGGTCTTCCAGGCCAGACCTAGTTCACCCCAGCCTGGCTGCTCCCCGCAGCCAGCGCTGTGCCTCAGCCCAGGCCAGAGCTGCCCCTCAGGCCCCAGCACTCCCCACTGTTCAGCCACAAGCGACTTCGACACCACCCCTGGCCTTTCTTGGGGTCCTGCCACCTGGGAAGTGGTGAGCGGACGCACGCTGGATGAAGGGTCTCGCCTTCTCCAAGGGTTCCTTGGGCAAGGCTTCCCTTCCAAGAGAGTCCCAGAGAGGCTCAGGGCCATAACCTGAGGAGTGGGGTTGGGTGGGGGTGAGGCCGAGGACTACCTGGTCGGTGGTTGAAGGGCGAGGGCACATCACAGCTGCCCGCAGAGGCCGATGCGACTCTTTCCTGCTGCTTGAAGAACTCCCGTGGGTTGTCAGGCCGCTGGGCAATAATGGCTGCTGCCTCCTGATGGCACAAGGAAAAGGTTGAGGCTAGGCCAGGCCAGCTGAGGGAGTCCCTGCCCACCTCACCTGGCTGGTGCCCCCGCTTTCACCTCCACCTCTGACTCCGACTTCTTCATGTGGGTCTCTTCCTCCTCATCCCGATGGTCACCCTAGAAACCAAAGCGACAGAGTCTGGTGCATCTACCCCCACAGGGGCTCTTGGCCTTCTTTTTTACTGTATTTTATTTATTTTGTTTTGAGACAGGTTCTCGCTCTGTCACAGAGGCTGAAGTGCAATGGCGCAACCACAGCTCACTGCAACCTCTGCCTCCTGGGGCTCAAGCAATCCTTCCACCTCAGGTTTCCACCACCATACCTGGCTAATTTTATTTTATTTTTTTGTAGAGGTGAGGGTCTCCCTATGTTTCCCAGGCTGGTCTCAAACTTCTGGGCTGAAGAGATCCTCCTGCCTTGGCCTCCCAAAGTGGTGGGATGGATTACGGCCATGAGCCACCAATGCCCAGCCTTCTGGCCTTCTTAGAGCCCCCATGCTTCCTTCATGATCTGGCAGGAAGGGTCTCAGAGCTGGTACCTCTGCCCCTTGAAACCGAGTCACACAGGCCCTCTCTTCCTTCAGGGCCCTTGACTACCTCATCTCTGCCCTGCCAGGCCTCTGGGCAACAGGCTCATTCACCTGCCTGCTCATCCCCATATCTAAGCAGGAGCCCAGAGCCATCCAGGAGGGCTCTAAGTTTTGCAGTTAACTTTTCTGGGACCTCCTACCCCAGTGCCAGGGTCACCATGCTCCCAGTGTTGCTGCCTGGACCATGGCATCACGGCCCAGCCATCCTCACTGGTACCTGCCTTATTTGCTCTCCATAGGCCCTGAAAGGACCTTTCTAAAATGCGGTTCAGACCATTATTTTCCTGAGCTTAAAATCTCTCAGAGGTTCCCAAGAGCCACAGCAAGCACTGGCTAAATATGACCCACAGATGGCTTTTGTTTTGCTGGTATGATATTTTTAAACCATGTTAATTAGTTGCCACCACTTAAAAACCAGGGACTTTCATACTGAAGTCAGAATTCCAGTTTCTCTTGAGGTGCCAGAGCCCTGGAGACACCACTTGCAAGCCCCGGAGCAGCCGTCACCAGGGCCTCGCTGCAGCACCCGTAAGCCTGGCTTGTGCCGCCCGCTTGCCCCTGGTCCCACCGTCACCTACTGGCTCCACCTGCCCACCGCACACATTGTTTTGGGTAGGAAGGGCCATCGCTTGGCCGACAGCCCCACCCCTGCCTGACCTAGCCGTCACCTCTCCAACACCACCCCCTGCCCCAGCCCCCACCCAAGGCGCCCACATACAGTGAAATGTAGACATCAAGTCCTCAGCACGACGCAGTCACAGTTTCCAGAACAGGCACACCCGTTCCCACCTCCAAGCCTCAGCATGGGAGCTCAGCCTCTCTCCCAAATGCCTGCTCCCCACCCCGGGGCCAGGCCAGGCCCTCTGGTTTCCAGCTGCAGGGTAGGCAGAGCTTCCTGGGGAAGAGGTCCCTGGCTCGTTCAGGTCATTTCCTCCTCTGGGTCCCCACAGAGTGCTCCTGGCTTCCACCACGATGACACCACATCCTAAGTTCCTGTTTCCGGAGTCTCCTCCCACCCGCCGTGAGCGACACAGGATGACTGGGGTCTCCAGGTGGCCAGCACAAGGCGGGCGCCTGTTTGCTCAACTGAACTCACACATCACCGGCTTCTTATTCGGCATCCCCTGCTGCTCAGGTGGCAGCTTGGACAGGAAGGGCTGTAAGGGGTGAAGTCCCAGGGCTGCTCTGGTTTTTGAGCGTTATCATCTAGAACTTAAGCTTATCTGTCAGGGGCACTGGGAGGAGGACCCTTTGTAGCATCCCACCTCAGGAGGGCCGTCACCCCAGCGGTAACTTTATGACCCCAGAATGTAGTCTAACTCCTTCTCTGACCTCGTTCTCCATTCCCAATCAAATTTCCCCTGCTCCTCGACCCACGGGGTTCCAGTCGGCACAGGCTCTTTGCCGTCCCACCAGCCTTTGCTGGGCTCTGCCCCCTGCCTGCTGCAGTCTCACTTGCTTGGTTCCTCGGCCTTGTTCCAAGAAAGGACCAGAGGCAGCGACCCCAAAGGCTTTAACTACCGACCATGTGAACAACACCGAGACGAGTAAGGCCCAGGGAACGGAGAGACGTCAATACACCAACCACATGGGTCAAAGCCATTGCTGTGCCTAAAGCATTTTCAGACACATGGGAGCTCCCCTGCAGCCCAGGCAAAAAAGGAACCCAGACATGGAACACAATTCGTAATGGGAGAGAAGGCAGTACAGCTCCTTAAGCCAAGAGAAAGCATTTTATGATGCTAAATCCCGAAGTCTCTCACATGTGCCCTTCCTTAGAGGACCTGAAGTGGCAAGGCTACCACAGTGACCTGCGAGAATGTCCACTTTCACTGTCACGTGAACGATACTCGAGGGGCCAGATGGGACTATAAAATAGTGCTAAGCTCCTTCAGATTTTGCCTGAAATGATAACTGGTGAAAATAAATCAGGTCAGGGGGTTCACAACACTATTCTGTCTACCTGCACGTGTATGTGTTTGAAACGCTGGCATAAAAATAAACTTTATCAGGCCGGGCGCGGTGGCTCAAGCTTGTAATCCCAGCACTTTGGGAGGCCGAGGCGGGTGGATCACAAGGTCAAGAGATCGAGACCATCCTGGTCAACACGGTGAAACCCCGTCTCTACTATAAATACAAAAAATTAGCTGGGCATGGTGGCACGTGCCTGTAATCCCAGCTACTCAGGAGGCTGAGGCAGGAGAATTGCCTGAACCCAGGAGGCGGAGGTTGCAGTGAGCCGAGATCGCGCCATTGCACTCCAGCCTGGGTAACAAGAGCGAAACTCTGTCTCAAAAAAAAAAAAAATAAAATAAAATAAAAAAAAATAAAAATAAACTTTATCATGCCGGGTGTAGTGGCTCACGCCCGTAATCTCAGCACTTTCGGAGGCCAAGGCAGGCAGATCACGAGGTCAGGAGTTCGAGACCAGCCTGACCAACGTGGTGAAACCTTGTCTTTACTAAAAATACAAAAATTAGCCAGGCATGGTGGCGCGTGCCTGTAATCCCAGCTACGTGGAGGCTGAGGCAGGATAATTGCTTGAACCCGGGAATCAGAGACTGCAGTAAGCAGAGATCACACCATTGCACTACTGGCCGGACATGGTGGCTCATGCCTGTAATCCCAACACTTTGGGAAGCAGAGGTGGGTGGATCATCTGCGGTCAGGAGTTTGAGATTAGCCATGGCTAACATGGCAAAACTCTGTCTCTACTAAAAATGGAAAAAAAAAGCCGGGCTCGGTGGCTCAAGCCTGTAATCCCAGCACTTTGGGAGGCCGAGGCGGGTGGATCACAAGGTCAAGAGATCGAGACCAACCTGGTCAACACGGTGAAACCCCGTCTCTACTGAAAATACAAAAAATTAGCTGGGCATAGTAGCATGTGCCTATAATCCCAGCTACTCAGAAGGCTGAGGCAGGAGAATTGCCTGAACCCAGGAGGCGGAGGTTGCGGTGAGCCGAGATCGCGCCATTGCACTCCAGCCTGGGTAACAAGAGCGAAACTCTGTCTCAAAAAAAAATGGAAAAAAGCTGGGCATGGTGGCGCATGCCTGTAATTCCAGCTACTCAGGAGGCTGAGGCAGGAAAATCACTTGAACCTGGGAGGCAGAGGTTGCAGTGAGCCGAGATCGCGTCACTGCACTCCAGACTGGCTCCTGGCGACAGAGCGACTCTCTGTCTCAAAAAAAAAAAAAAAACACCACTGTGAAAGGAAATAGTATATCCATACAATGGAATAGGATTCAGCCTTCAACAGGAAGGAAATTCTGACACATGCTACCACATGGATGAACCTTAAGGCCATCATGCTAAGTGAAATAAGCCACACACGAAAGGACAAACACTGTATGATTCCACTGATAGGCGGTCCCCAGAGTAGGCAACTTCATAGAGACAGAAAGTGGAATGATGGCTGCTAGGGGCTGGCGAGTGGGGAAAGGGAGAATTTGTGCTTTACGGAGAGTGGTGGTGGTTGTCCAACAAAGTGAATGAACTTAATGCCACTCAGTGAACTGCAGATTTTAAAATGGCTGAAGTGACACGTTTTATGTTATGTATATTTGACCATAATTAAAACAAATACATGAATCAACTTATTATGGAAAAAAAAAAGGTCTTGCCCAGCTTGTTTTCCATCAGGTTCTGCAGGTGGCAGGTGGCAGGTGTGTGCTGAATGAATGACGGGGGCTGGAGCTTACCAGCCACACATCGTCCCCATCCCATCCACCGGCCGATGTGACTGGAGTGACTTATGCTGGTGCCTGCAGGACTGTCTTGCCTCCTGTCTCTCAGCCTCCTGTGGGTGTGACTCTGGAACCCGTTTGGGTCCCCACAGCCCTGCGTCTGCCCATCACAGTCCCAATCCAGATGATTATCAACCCACCTCCCTTCCTGAACTCAGCTATGCTCAGTCCTGTATGACATTAGCTATGTCTGAAATACTAAATTCAAAGCATGAAGATGTGACTTGGCTGTGATTTTCAGGGACCAATCCACAGGATCTATGTGCCCTTCCCAATGTCTGGAGGTTCCGACAGCACCCCTGGAATAAAGCGGCTGCTCCCAAGGAGACACTGCACACTGGCTACAGATGCCCAGCATTGGCTCAGACTCACCCATGCTGCCCACAGCACTTCTGTGGTGGGACCAGGCCTGGCGGCCCCTCAGAATAGAAAAACAGTGTCTGATCTGCCTCGAGCGCCCCCGGGAGAGGAGGCGTAGCCTGGTCAGTGAGGCTCTGGGTCTAGATGGATTTTCTCTTCCAGTCTAGAACACAAGCTTCTCCAAGGTAGTCTTTTTCCATGGCCAGAGCCCCGGATGATGAGTTACCAGGCCTGATGCTCCACTGCACCCCATGCCCATGCAGGTCCCCGGAACACCCAGCACTGTCCCCTGAGCCCTCATCTCCCCACAAGGCCCAGGAACACAGGGATGGTCCTCACTTCCCTGACCTGGAGACCGGAAGCCTGGGCAAAGAACTTACGAAGATGGACTGCTCCTTCAACCGCCTCTTGGCCTCTTCCGCTTCTAAAGTCTGCTGTTTCCTCCTGGAACGACAAGCAGCCGGCAGCCGTCAGGGTGCGCCCGGGGGGGCCCCGGAGCACTGCCGGGCGGGAGGGCTCACCTGTGCTCCTCGATCTGCTGCTCCCGCTCCCGGTAGCGCCGCTCACGCTCCTCTTGCTCCTGCCGCTCCTGCTCCATCCGCTCCTGCTCGAACCTGAGCCTCTCATCCAGAGCCTTCTTCCGCTCCTCCTCCTTCCGCAGCTCTTCTTCCTTCTGCGAGCCCCGGTGTGAGCAAGGGTAGGCCCTGAGCCTGGGCGCCTGGCCCCTGCCCCTCCGGCTCGTCCCTAACCCAGAGCAGGAGGTGGGCATGTGGCATGGACCACGCCACTGCAGTGGGGGACACAGAGCTGCCCCATGGGGCCCATGAGGGGCGGCTCAGCCGGGCCAGGCTCAGGGTTCCATACCTTGGCTTGCTCCCAGAACTGCTCTCGGTTAATCCGCTTCATTTCCACAGCTGCGTCTGTCTTCTGGTAGGTGGTGCCCTTCGGTGTCAAAGGACCCAGCATGAGCAGGCTGAATGCTCTGGGAACCCCCCCCCCCGCGACACCTAAAGGGTGAGGACTAAGAAGAACTGGACAGGCCAGTCTCAGGCACCAGGCCACGCAGGCAGAGCCCACCGGTGCCAAACACACACTAACCACAGGCTCGGCATTCTCATCCTCTCGCAGCCGCAGCCGGTGCAGCACGGGGCTGGAGAGCCGCGCCAGCCCGTTGGAGAGCCGCTGCCCGATGGCACCTGCGTCGATGTCTTCCACGCTGCTGGCGTTCACGATCACATCGACGCCCTTCCGCAAGAACATGGCAGTGCTCAGGCGGCCCCGCCCTCCCGCCATCACCACCTCAGCATGCAGACCCTGGTGGCTGTCCCCGCTCTCAAGAGCCCTGGCCCCACACACACACCTGGAAGAACTCAGCCACCTTGGCCACATGGCTGGCACAAGCGCACTTACGGGCATCAGGCACATCTTCACCCACCTGCAAAGTACCCAGCAAAGAGGGGGTCAGGAAAGGACAAGAGGGCCCCTACATGATAGGGTGCATCTTCCCTGGGGCTGGTGGGGTTCCCTTTCCACAGGTGTCAGAGGGCTGGGGGGAAGGGCGACTGCTCTGGGCCTTTAGCTCCCTTCCCCAGCCACGGCCACATACCCAGTTGATGAGCACGTATTTTGGCAGAGCAGCTTGGGAGTCCTTGACGCTGCAGAAGCCGTACATGACCTTCTGGTTCTCAAAGTGGCCTGAAAGCTCCTGCAAGCCCCCTTCTGGAGTAATCAGGAGAGGGTCAGGGCTCTCTGCCTCCTAAACCCTTCCCAAAATGAGCCTGGAACTCAAAGGAAAGACTCCTCCTGGGTTCCCCAGGCACCAAAAGGGGTCTTCTGGCCTCTGGGATGTGTGGGTCCCAGTTTCGTGTTGGTTTGTATGGGGGCGGGGGCGGGGTGCACAGGGATCTAGCTTTGCCTCCTGCAGGGCCTGGTTTGGGGTAGGACTGAGGAACTGTTTGTTCTTCACACATCCTCAGGTCTCATTCTTCACACATCACCATGTCTCACCAGGTGCCAGTGCCCAGAGGCAAAATCAAGCCTTCTGGCTCTGGGGAAGGTGGTGAATAGGGCCCTTCCCCCAAAGCATCCCAGCTGTGTGGCTTCAGGAAAGTCACTTTCCCTGTTGGAGGCTCAGCCTTCTCAGAAGTCCAACGCTCAACAAGGCTCCGAGCTCCCTCCCCACCCTGGGGACACAGGGATGACCGGAGGAAGGACACCTGACAGCCCCAGACAAGTGTGGATGCAGGCGGGGAGGTGGCTCGGAGCCAGGTGGGTGGGGAAGAAAACAACTGAGGAGGGGGGTGGGGAGGAAGGCGAAGGAATGGCTGGAATTCCTACCTCCTGATGCTGCAAGCTTGAGGTCATCTGAGCCGTCCTCATATGTGTACAGAGCCCTGGGGAGAGGGAGGGGTGGCTGTCAAACCGTCAGGGCCCAGGCTGCCAAGTCTGGGTGGGGACAGCTCTGGGGAGGGAGAGGGACATGAAGTGGGAAGGACAGGAACGGGGAGGGCTCCTGCGGTTGCCATGCCAACAGGGCCACACATGGGTTTAGGCAGGAGCCAAACAGGGTGCCGCTGAAGGCCTGGGTCAGGTGGGGAGCAGGCAGTGAGGGGAGAAACTGCTGGCTGGTCAAGTTCCGTGTGCTGCATCTCGGCCCTGGCTCTGGCAGCCTACAACCCAGTGGAGCGGGTGTGTGATGGAGATTCCAAGGCGACGGCTCCTTGGTTACTGTTCCCTGGCTACCACCATCCTCACCCCCCATTGGCTAGTGCCAGGAACTTACCTGGCACGTGCCTTGGTCCCCGCTGCTGCTCCTCCCGCTGCTCCTCCCCCGGGGAGGGAGGGAGGAGGAGAGAGAACCTGATGCTCCCATAGCTCTGGGCATCCCCCAGTAACCGTGGCAACCCTGCAATTGGCACACGACTGGCCCACCCCAGCTGCATTCTCCATTGAACACAAAGGACCCTGGGGACCCGCCCTCAGTCTCAATCTCCGCCTCTCTGAAATGGGGATGAGGTCACTGCAGTCACTCTCGCCCAGACTGTGGCCCCAGGGTGGCCACGAGCTCCAGGCCTTCCAGCCCCTAGGCTGCCTCCGCCCTGGCTGAGGCCTCCTGAGACTGCTGGCCTTTCCTTCCTCTGCCCGAGCTTCAACAGAAAGCTGACCTGGCAGCCTTCCTCCTTCCTCCTCCTCCCTGGCTTCGTGTGGCCTGGCTCCTTTTGATAGGCTGCGGTGACAGAGCATCCATTTCCCGGAAGGGAATGCAGAGATGCCTCCCCCATCACCCCATGCAGGCCCAGGCTGAGGACCCTCTGGGAGGGAGGAGAGCCGGAGCCTAGGAGGAAGGGCCTTGCCCCTGAGGTTTGGAAGGGCTCAACCCCTTCTCCAAACTCCTATTCCCCAGGTGCCAAGGCAGGAGGCCGGGGCTGTGAGGAGGGGAGGCAGAAAGGGAGGGCAAGGGGGAAGAGAAAGAGGAGGGGAGAAGCAGAGGGAGAAACTGGGAGAGGAGGAAGAAGAGAAAGGAGAGAAGTGAAGGGATGAAGGAGATGAAGCTGGGAGGCCCGGAGAGTACATCTCAGGAGTTACGGCCGGGCCAAATGGCTGGGGCCCCTCCCCTTCCTGGATTCCCCACTTCCTACCTCCAGGAAGGGACTCAGGTGGGCTGTGGGGCTCGGAGCTCCTAGTCCAACTGTGGCCCCAGCCCTGGCCGGTCCCTGACAGCTGCTTCCAGCACAGCTGTCCCACCACCTGTCCTGCTGCCCGAACCCACTACAGGAACAAAGGGCTCTGAGAGAAGCAGGCTCTGTCCCTCTCCATACACAGATGAGAAACGGAGGCAGAGCTCAGGGACCCTAGTTCCCAGAGATTGCTCCAGACATCACACCTCCCTGAGATCACCTGTCTTAACCTGCCCAGGCTCTCTGGGGCACCTTTCATCCTAAGGCCCTGCCTACCCACCTCGGGCCCCCTTTTCCTGCTCCAGCCACAGCCCTTCCCCAGTAGAAACCATACCCCAGTTCAAACCCTCCAGCCTGCCTTTCCATTGGACCGCCCTATCCACACCACACGCTGGGCCACACCTGACAGCTCCCTGACCCAAGCAGGGTTCTGGACAGGGTGCGCCTTGGAGGCTCTGCCTATGTGGTTCTCTTCGCATGGAAGGCAAGACCTGCTCCTCTACCCCATGCCTATTCCCAGTGGAATCCTTCCGTTCTTCAGGGCCCAATGCTGGCCCCCAGCAGCCTCCCTTGAGCTGCGTCTCCCAGAGCACCCACCACATCCCAGCAGGAATACAAAGACCAGTGCTTCTCAAACCCATCAGAGGCACCCCGAGCCTGGTGGTGCACCAGGTGGGAGCGGGTGAAACAACAGGGAATCAGGATGGGGTAGGGGCCAGGCACCTACTCATCTCACCAGCTCCGACTCCTGGAGGCAGACACCGACCCCAGCTGTAAGCCGCGTGAAGGCAGGAATGCTGACTCGGTCAATCAGCACATCCTGCTCTCAGGGCCTGGGGTCCAGCACACTGCACACCAGAAGTATGTATGATATGGACACCAGCTTAGAAGCCATCTAGCCAGAAACTGTACTAGCGTGAGGTGGGAGCTAGGATGTGGCAGTTCCAGAGGCCCTGGGGTGAGCTCAGGTGGGCCTCTGGGGGCAGGTGGACCCCTCGGGACTATCACTCTCAGGATGGTGGTGCTAGGAAGGCAGGTAGGGCTGGGCCCAATCCCTTGTCTTTCCAAGAGGACCAGGAACTTGTGTGTGGTCACAGTGAGTCATATCACAACCAGGGCAACAGTGGCCCTTCCTACTATACAACCTCATTTCCTGGGTCCCCTGCTCCCTGCGCCAGAGTAGTGGTCCACTTCAGAGGCCCTGCCACCTAGGCGTGAACTCCCCCAACCACCCCTCCCGCTGGAGGCAAGGCAAGAGGGGGCAGACAGCAATTTACCCAAGACACCCCTCCCTCTGGATCTACGTGCAGGGTCTGCCTCTGAGTCCTCAGATCTCACTGCACCCATGGTTCCATGCTCGGCGCTGGGGTACTCATGTCCTCTTGTGCAGAAAGTGATCCTCACACCCTTTTTTCAAAATGCTATCTGGGCCCTTAGTGAACGGCATGTGCGAGGGTACGTGTGTGCATCTGTGTGTGTCCCACACACAACCCAGATGGGGGGTGACGCACACCAGTGATGAATAACTTGCTTTGGCTATACTGATGCTGCTGGCGGGGCGGGGGCGGGGGCGGGGGGCAGGCCTCTTTGAGCAAGATGTAGGGCAGCAGGGGTTGTGTGGCCCTGGCAATAGGCCACCAGAGCTCTGCTTTTAGGAGAAAACGGGCTGGTGGTATATAGCAGCCCTCCAGACTGGAGGGCAAAGGAGGTGTTCTGGGGTGAGCTGTGCCTCTGTTCAGGCGGGGCCTTATCCCAAAGCCAGCTCCTTCTCCAGGCCAAGCCGGCCTCTTGCCCAGAGCTCCTCTCATGATCTCAGGCCCCCTGGGGCAGGGTTGAGACAATGGGTGGGCCGCCTGCCTGCTGGGCCTGTGCTGGCCTCTCCTGTGACTGACCTGCAGGACAGGAGAGCTTGTCTCCTGCGTCCATCCCTCCAGGCCTGGCTGCCGGCCAGTGCTGCAGTACCGTGCCATGGATGCCCAGCCATGTCGTTCCCTCCTCCAGCCCCCAGGTCAGAGTCCCCATCTGGCTGCCCTCCCAGTGTACAGGTAAAGCCAGCCCAAGCGGGGTCCCTCAGACCCACCCTCTTCTTTGCCTCAGTTTCCTCAATAAGAGCCTGTTCCCATCTGCCAGCAGGGAGAGGAGGCCCAGGAACCAGAGGGGAACCTTCCCCAGGAGAAGAGTATTACTCGAGGAGGAGGATTCCAGGATGGGGCAGTGAGGAAGCCCTCGGTTTCTTTTTTCCGCCACCCTGGGCCGCCAGCCCCAGAGCAGGTGGTCCATCCCTTCCCCCGGCTCAGGGGGAGACAACAGCTGGGGGGCGGAGAGAGGGGCGGCCCAGCTCCTCCCCCATCAGGGACCAAATGCCCCTTGCTAGGGGCCCGTGGATCTGCTCACCTCCTCAGCCCTCTTTGGGGGCTCCCTCCACACTTGTTCTCCAGGGGGCTTCCTCCCAGGAACCTCAGCTGGTCCCCTAGAAAGGCAGCTCGGTGCCCCCTAGCCCAGCTGCCTGGTCCCCGCAGTCCCGCTCAGGTAGGGGAGGAGAGCTCACCCCTGCCTCCTCCGCGACCCGCGGCGATAAGGGAGTCACTTCGCGGTCGCATGTGGCAGCGAACATCCTTCCACCTCACTCCAGCCCAGGTGGCGGGGCGGGGGTGGGGGGGGAGGGCGGCCCAGTCCTAGCGGCCCCCGGTGGGCGGGGCGCCCGGCCCCCAGCTCGCTCCGCTCCTCCCCCGCCCTCGCTTTCCTTTGTGCTGTGGCCCGGCCGGGCTGAGCCCGGCAGGCTGCGCCGGCTCCGCTAGCTAGGTCCCCGCCCCGTCCCCGTCCGGACCTCGCCCGCTCGAAGGTGGCGAAGGTGCCCTTGGCCGCCCCGTGCACACCTGTCCCCCGAGCCCGGGGGTGGGGTGGGGGATGGGCTCCCGCAGGGCCACGCGGCCCCGGGCCCCAAATCGGGACCCCGCGTCCTCCGGGCCGCGTCCGGCCGCCGCTCCCACCGCGCGCCTGGGGCCGCCTCCGGGCGCTCGGGGCCCGGCAGTGCCCCGCCTGGCCCGCCGGCCCCTCCCCCGGCGCACACAAAGGCAGCCCCTCCCGGGCCTCCCGGCCCGCTGCACCATTTCGGGGTCCCCCTCCCTTCCCGGCGGCAGGGCGGCGGGGCGGGAGGGAAACAAAGGCGCGGCGGCGGCGCGGGGACAAAGGGGCCGGGGGCGGGGGCGGGGGGCTCACCAGTCGGCCGCGCTCTCCTCCCGGATCACCTCCTCGTACGCCGCCAGCAGCTCCAGGCGGTGGCCGCTGAAGCTGACGCCGGCCATGCTTCGGGCCGGACTGGGTCGAAAGGACAGACGCGCGGACGGACGGGCGGACGGAGGAGGAGGAGGGAGGGAAAGAGGGAGTCGCCGCCGCCGCCTCGGAGCCTCTGCAGCGTCGCGAGCCGAGCGAGCCAGCGGCCGGGGGAGGGGAGCCGGCCGGCGGGGGGCGGGGGGCGCTGGCTCCGCCCGGCTCGCTCCCTCCGCTCGCTCGGTCCTAGCGCCGCCCCGGCCCGGCCCAGGGGGAGGCCCGCCCCCCCTTCCCGGCCTGCCCCGGGCGCCCTCGCGCCCCTCGCCCGTCGCCCCTAAGCGCCGCTCCCGGGCCCGCCCCACCCGCGTCCCGACCCCTCAGCTGCCCGGTCCGTCGCCTCGGTGCTCACCCTCCTTGCAGCCCCGAACTCAGCCCCGTCCCCACCCACTGCTCCATTGATCTCCATTCCCCGTGCGTCCCATCCTACCTTAAACCCATTTTCATCTCAACCCAGCTCACACGCACCAGCCCATCCCTGGCCCATCCGCAGCCCCTCTCTGACCCTTAGGGATCCATGCCTCCTAGTCTATCCCACCACTTTCCACTGCCAGCTGCATCCCACTTCCAAAGCCAGCCCAGTTCCTTTCCCATCCCAGCTTCAGCTCCATGCTTAGCACGTGTCCCAGCCCCACAACATTTCTCACAGCATCCTCCTCAGTCCAGCCCATCCCAGTCTCGTGCTGATCCCAGTTCACAATTCCCAACCGCAGCCCCCTATCTCGGCTCCATGACCATTCATTCCAGGTCATTCTCCACCTCTACCCAGCTCATTATCCCTCCATTCCCGGCCTCTCCTCCCTTCCACGCCTGTGCCCTCTCAGATGAAGCCAGCTAGGATATCCTTTGCCTTCTCTCCCAAGCCTCACGCCTCCCAGAGGAGTCCCAAGTAGAGTTCCAGAAGCAGCATCTAACCCCAGACTCCCAGGGCAGGGCTCCTCCGAGGACGCTCAGGGCCAGCCTCTTGGCACCTTTATCTCCTAAAGCTCTGAGCACAGAAGGGGAGGGGTGACTCAGAAAAGTCCCCTGCAAGGGAGTGGGCACCATGCCGGGGCCTCCCAGAACTGCATTCTTTGCTGGGTTGGGACCCTGAAACTGTCCACAGCTCTCAGCAGCCTTTTCCACCACTACAAAGCCTCCAATCTCGACCTCCCTGATTTGACTTCACCTGGTCCCATCTGCACTGTGGAGAAGGAGGTGGTTCGAGCTGGGCCTCTAAGTTCTGTGTTGGGTAATCGGCTATGCCAATTAAGGAGAGCAGGGCTGCATATATGCAGCAGCGGTTCCTGGCACTCTGGAGTTGGGAGAACGCTCTTAAAACTCAAAATATTCACAGGCCCCTGCCTTGGGAAGTCAGTGCCTACTATGCCTAGAGACCACTGGCCTTGGCAATTTTTCCATGGTTCCCACTAGAGCATGGTTCCCAGGCAGGGACA